ATTTGTGCTATTCTAGTTTTTTTATTCACTCCTTTCACAACCAGTGTTGATAACGTACAATGTTAAAGAAAACAACATGAAAACATTTTGTTAACAGTATGGCAAAGCGCACCCAGGTAAAAAGAAAAAAAAAAGTAAAGAAAGTGACAGAAAACAACTTCTACAAACAATTTTAATTTGCCAACAATTCATAATAATAAATGACTAAAAGTGAATGACGTGCAAATCGGATAAGAATCAAGTGCAATATGAACATGTTTTGTTTTGTGTCAGGGCATCACTCCATTTCAACATCTGCTTCCTCCGTCTTTTTTCCATCTGTGTCTAGCTTGATTTAACTTCTATAAGTTGTTCCATGAAACCCATGAAGTGATAAATAGGGTTGTGTCTTCTTTGGGTTGAAAAGGTGCGCAATAGTCTCTGCATTATTTTGTCCTCCGAACTCTTATCGCTTTCGGTGCTTTCACAGAAAAAGATCCTTACTTCCGCTCTTGGCGGCCATTTTTGTAAAATAGGCCCAATCCTGAAGCTTCAAGAAACATCATAATCATTCCTTTATATTACATTACATTGATTTCAACACAACAAAAGCCTTAGCAAGGCTTCCAACCTTAGTTTGTTTTGATAGGCTTGTTTATTCGGGGGGTTCCCAAACTATATGCTACTATCGCTGCAGGCGCGTAACAGTGTAATGGAAATGTCTGGGACCTCCTTGGCCCTTCATTGAAGCCCTTGTAAAAAAGTACAACAGTACATTGTTGACACATGCCTCTTGATCTGCACTCGCCCTTGTATGTTGGCATGGTTAGGTTTGATGAGGTTGTGTTAAGATGGGTGTTGTCTTGTCAGGGGAGGATGGGCTGATCTTTCTTCGTTCCCTGACTCACCATCCACAGCACTGGCTGCTTGTGCTCCATCCACAGATGTAAAAGTAAGAGGCGGCCCAAAAAAATGAATCACTTCCAGACGGAGTTAGAAAAAGGAACCAATCCGAACTAAATAAACAAGCTTTCATTCAGTCTTCTACCAAGATAGAGCTTATGATTTTTTTTAAAGGCATTATGCACAAGCACAATATTTACATTTATACTCTTATAGAGAATACTTATCCAAATTGACTTAAACACAATTCGTCAAAGACGCAACAATATAATGCCAGGTTTATTAGCCAACTATGAAGCAAGCTAGAGAAGAAGAGAAATGCAGAGAAGAAACAAAAGTGTTGTGCGTGTGTTACTCCATATTGCTTTCTAACAAGCCTTAGTTTTTTAACGTTCTGCTCTAAAACGAAATCTTGCTCATCAAAATAAATGTGCTTGAAGACAATACCAGGATTGAGATTCAGTCAGTACTGCTATATTTGTGATGGGCTTGTCTCCATGGTGACAGTCAGCGGGTGCAAGAGTCAAACTGACTTTTTACAGCCTGCACCTCATTTTTTCCACATTTAACATCAAGTAAACAACCCTAATGATTTCCCTTTCAGGTTTACCAAAGCGAGCGCATCTTAATGTCAGACTACAAAAGTCTTCACAACATGCCACAGACATTAGCATTATATAATCATGTTTGCATGGGTTCATAGTGTAGCAAATGCTTAATATTCACATTTGTTTTTGAGAAGGTACCGGAATTTAGATGAAAGCGTGTTGACAAGACACAGGGAATATGAAATCACTTGTGGCCTTTCAGGGTTATGCTATGCTCAAGGCTAGTCACCCTGATACCTGTATAACAGCATTACAGAAACAGAAGACTAGCATTATTTGAGCCAGCTCTCTGCAATTAAAAAAGCCAGTCTTTCACTCAAGGTTTGCTAGATGCTAGATTAATAGAGCCGAGGTATGTGATTTATGCCCTGGCTGGAGTCTGTTTTGACAGAACCTAAAATGCGATGACATTGCCTGTAGGTAATACTTGTTATGGTCTAGGAATGTAAACCGTAACCTTTTTCTCATGGTCCATACTGCCCTGAAGATATATTTTAGTTAAGTTGAAAACAATTGTACCTAAAACATTTCATCTTTAAGCATTTTTTTTATATCTTTCCCATTCAATTATCATTTTAATGATGTACCGCACATCTATGAAAAGTTGTGCATTATGTTTTCTTTGAAACTTATAAAACACACAACCTATTATTTTCAGCTGGGATAGTCCAAGAGACATTCCGACAAGCTCAGCCATAAAATAGTTTTTTGAATGGACTATTAAAACTGCTTTTAAAGTCACATCAGTGTCTGACAAACATGGAGTATTTTGTTTAAAGGTCCAGCAATGCTGATTACACAAACAGTACAGCAGGGCAAGTGAGAATGTTTAACCTGTAAAAGAAGTGAAAATACAGTTTACAGAGATTACCAAAGGAATGGTTTATTTTGGTTTCACCTTAGAGAGGAACTCACAATGTAACATTTTTAGTGCTTTCGACAAGTACTAACACAGTGCCGGAGTTCAAATGTTCCCAGGTGAGTTCACAGAGGCTGTTGTCCATGTCAATCCTGATAAATCTGACCATCAAAGGATTTGTACATTCTAAACATAGTTAAGGAATTTTATGTGTATTATTATTATTATTACTTGAATGATAACAGGTTAAAAAATTTTAAAACAATGTTGTTTTATGATTCCATGTTCTTAAAATGTACAGTATATGACTACACTAAAGATACAGATTGTCTTAACAGTGTTTGTCTGCCCCCCTCTGGTTAATTTGTTAATTTCAGAGAATGCATGGCAGGCTTGTATGATGGAAAAACATATACTGTACACTACAATTTATTATAAAGTAAATTGTGAGACCTGAATTCAAGGTTACTTTGATGGTGCACTACAGTTCAAAAGTTTGGGGTCGGTAAGATTTTTTTAAAAAGAAAATCTCTTATTCTGCACCTGCATTTGTTCAAAAATACACTAAAAACATTAATATTGTGAAATATTATTTCAATTTTAAATGTATATTTTTATATGCTATTCTAACATTTCTAATGATTTAAATACATAATTATTTGAATAGTTTAATAAGTTTAAAAGAACATCAGATCTGCAATCTACCCCCACTTTGCTAAATGAGAGCTAGTCCAAAGTGCAACATTCTAGGATATCCATGGCTATCTGTGGTTTATTCTATCCCCTTGACCTCTCCAAGTTTAAATAGACATGCAATTGCTTTTGATAAACACTGAATCTGAATTTGAGGTGTTGACCAAACTACCAAATGTCCTAAAATTGTAGGCCTATACACCTTACAACAGTGTTGGTGTTACATTTGTGAACAAATTTGTGCTTAAAATTAACATTTTAAGTTTAATATTTTAAGTTCCACGCATTTATTAACTTCACTGAAAGAGTCATTGCTTAGCCTATGTTGCCCACACACTACATTATTTTAAAGGTACTCTAAGCGTTGTCGCGTAACGTGACTTCTTGTTGACGTTAAAAATATTTTCAAACAAAACGGAGGCTAGATAGACCCTCCCCCCTCCTCATCTGCACTGACCCCTCCAAACCCCCCGCTCTAGGGCCTTCTTGTCAGTTATTGGCTGGAACATTTTGTTATGTTACATGGAGCGGGTTGCCGCAGTTTGTTTTTGTTGCCATTTGTGGAGCCTGGGTTGTCTGCGCATTTGGGGACAGGCAGCTAGCAGATAGCGAGGAGATGTTTGCTGTATGTGACAAAAAATGTTTTAAGAAAACGTGTGACATCGCTTAGAGCACCTTTAAGTCATGATTTTACAGTCACCGCAGTAGGCTGGAGACTGCAGACAAAAGCCCGAAATTGGGTGTAAACCAGTGCTCGCTCACACAGGTGATGATCAACAAAAGACAGTGTGAAAAGATCAGCGATCCGACAATTTGGAAAGTCATGTAGTGTTTGGCGGCACTATAGGGTAACCCGAAAATGACATTTATGTCATTAAATTACCCACGTCGTTCAAAACCCGTTAGAATTTCATTCATCTCTGGAACACAAATAAAGATATTTTTAATTACATCTGAGCAATTTCTGTCCCTCCATTCACAGCTATGCAACTAGCCAACCACTTAGATTTCAAAAAGTAAAATAAAACATATAAGCCTGAATTAGGCTAATCTGTTCAGTTCATAATAGGCCTATAAAGTGATTGAGTCACTTCAGAAAATGTGGACTAATCCGCTCAATTCATATGGATTAGATTTAATATCTCTCTTTTGAACTTTTTGAAGTGTCAAAGTGGTAGCCTAAGACATACAGAAAGCTGTCCGATTTCATTAAAAAGATAATCATTTGTGTTCTGAAGATGAACGAAAAAGTCGTTCGGGTTTGGAAAGACACGAGGGTCAACTGACAGAATTTTCGTTTTTTGTCGAACTGTCCATTCACTTGCGTTTCGCCCCCTAGTGACATTTGCTTGGAACTTCCAAACTAGGCTCAGATACCTTCGATTAGTTGGACTGCTTCGTTCAGTTTAGTCGCAAAATATTTCAAAGCATTCAAAGCTTAAATTTTGCTTAAATTCAGCATATGCCACGCAGCTTCCATAGTACTCTTCATTGCCAATAAATGACTTCCGTTTGCGGTTTGTTGTTTTACAATAGAAAAAGTAAACAATGGGACATATCGCCCATGCACTAACTGAATGAACACATCTTACATGAACTGTACAATTCATTTCATGAGTTGGTCTAGTTCAGAACTAAGAGAGAAAGATGGCAGAAGAATTACTAATGTTAAAAACTATAATTATTAATACCCCTGACGCAATGAATAATTAAACGACTCGCTAATTTAGTAGCCACCCACTGGCAGAAAGGGGCACTAAACAAATAGATTTGACTCCGAGACATTATCAAATTACCCTACAGTGTACAACAGGACTACAGGACTAACTGACACAGCACTGACTGATTCAGAACCTATAGATATCTCTATGGGTCTCTGGTGTGATTGCACGAGTTTGCGTGACAGCTTCCTGTGGCCTTGACTGGGAAGCATCCACGCCTTGTATCGCGACGCACAAAACACCGCCCGCCTCTCACTGGCACCCCCAAACGCAGGCTGTGATTGGGCAGTGCAAATGTCTCAACTCCCCTCGTCCACCGAGCACCGGTTGAGCACATTCTGTCACTTGCGCTAGCGTTAAATGGAGGAACGTCCCTGCGACGGGGCAATCGGAGTATATATCAGTCATGGAGCAGAGAACGACACTGATCGATCGAACATATCGGTAAACAATGATCAGAACCACAGTCAGTTCCAGAACGAGAAAACGCAGACGAAGAAAACAGGTTGGTGACCAGCAACTCTCATTGTTTTTTCCTCTGACAAGCTTCGAGTACATGTCGTGGTATGTTTGTTTACAGTAATACAGCTTGAGTGAAGTCAAACGCGGAGCATGGTTTGCTGATGGAACAGTTTTAAATAGTTACATCCAGGGTGCTAGCCGTAAAGCTAACTAGCGTGAAGGGACATTGACCTTGTGCACCGGTCTTTCAGCACGCATTACACATTTCCCTGACTTCTGATTCATTCGAAAACACATCTCTCAGTTTGGTCCGTTTTACGGGGATTGTGTCCATCAGAGACCCAGAATAGACTGTTAGCTCTATCCTGGTGCTGCCACAGCAACATGAACCGGCTCCTGTGGAATGTTCCTGCTCGTAGCTTAAGCTTGCTCTGTTATTTCCTGTCCGCCATGATGGACGGCCAAATCTCACAAACTTCGCCGCTGCCTGTTTATCGTACAAAACCGAATATTTCAGTGATACAAATCCGGAAACGTAATTAGCTCTGTTAGCTTTTGTAGTCCGAGGGAGTATTAATGGTGTAGGGTTGGCCAGCTTAGCTCGAAACGCGGCCTATTGCTCTTTGACAGTCATGTGAGTGGGCCTGGCAGTGACTGCCTGGGCTCGCGCTCACCGCCGATTCGAACTCGACACCGAGTGGCCTGAATAGAACGCGTCAGAACATTCTATAACTGTCCAAATACAGACGTTCTAAACGTGTAAACAGATGCAACCGGGAAATCATATACATTAAACACATGGACATGTATATTTACAGCATATATTTATAAAATAGTTGCATTTGTGTAGTTTTTATATTAAAGTGCATTCTCTGACCCTGTTTAACCTGTCCTGTGTATGACTGCATGCAACGTCTCGAAAAGCTCATGGCGCCTTGCGACGAAGCCTGCCAACTCTAGAACCCTTATATTTTAGATTTCATACGAAGTGACAAACAGCTGTACTGTGTGTGTCCTTAGTGGCCTGTAACTGTGAGCATATTACGTGTTCAAACGCACCGCAAGCGTAACGTTAGCTGGGTTAACTTTTTGGTAGGTTCTGCTGGCTATCGTTACATGTAAAAGGTCTCACAGGAGTGCACACCACTACACATCGTCAGAACTGTTTATTTTTGATGGATAAAACGCCCTGTGTGTTGTATAGCCCCTCTTGAAATATGTCGTTGCAGCTGTCACTTCACAAAATCGTTATAACGTAACGTTATTTCAATCACAGGTACCTGCGGCTAATCACTCAGGCTCCCCACTTAGCATGCTAAGCTAGCTGATGACTTGGCCGGTTTGTTGACTGAATACGCACAGTTTGTCAAGTCGTTCAATCTTAACATGGTAAAATTGGTCCTTGAATCAAACTATTAACAAAGCTAAACAATTTTGTAAATTATTCCATGGAGTATAAACGTTGCTGACTGTATGTTGGGATTAAACAACCCACCTCCACTACTGTGACTTTAACATACAAATGAGAGCTCACGTCAGGCATGAACTGTGTTAAAGGGATTTAAGGTGTATTCAGCTCAGTGTTTTTCATTAATTTCGGCATTTTAAGACATGTACACCAATGCTGGGGAACTACCCAAATGACTGAGTACTCCATTTTGACACGTCATACCTCCGGTTAAAAATAGGGCGATGTCAGATTTGAGCCGGCCGATGAAAGCACACTTGCATGGACTACTCTCTTCACGCATCATATTTTCCGCCTCAAAAAGGACAAATGTCATGCAGACCCGTTTTAGATCTCGTAGAGCTCTTTTTACCGCATTAATGTATTTCAACATTTGGATGTTGCAATGCCCTGCTAACTTCTTGGTCGTTGGTCCAACTTGTTTACATAAACTGTACGAAGACATATTTTCTTCTGTTTGAATAAATTTAAATCTGTATACCAGGTTGCCAGCCCAGAATGGTATTGTTACTGTCTTAAGTTCCTTTGAGGGCTGCCATAAATAGTTTCCATAAAAATCATGAACTCAAGCAGACCTTGCTATACTTGCCTGACAAAGAAAGAACATCAAATGTTTTTTTTTATTTATTCCAAGGACCTCCAATATGATGATCCTGTTGCTAAGGACCCCCCATGTATACCTTTTTATTTTGTTTGAAAATAGTAAGCGAGTGAACCCTTATATTGTAGTACATTCATTGTCATGTTGTGTGTATTGTTTTCTACAGAACATTCATTTATGTTTCAATCCAAATGTTTTTATAGCGCTTGGACAAAAGATTCTATTTCAAAAATAGGTTTAATGAATATTGTTCTTTGGAACTTTAATGTTTTCAACATCGATGGTTATTAAAAATGTTTCTTGAGCCACAAATCAGCATATGAGAATGATTTCTGAAGGATCGTGTGACTGAAGTCTGGAGTAAAGATGCTGAAAATTCAGCTTTGCCATCACAGGAATAAATTACAGCTTATAAAACCATTATATTAAATTATAATAATGTATCAAATAATACTGTTTTTGCTGTATATTTGATCTGAGAAATGCAGCCTTGGAGAAAGTATGATAAATATCAACCCCTTGTGTATGTGTGAGCGCACTTGATTGTATAAATGGTTTGAAGACAAACATTTGTATAATGACATGTAAAATTTAAACATGGTTTATGAAGACACTTCCTGTGTCTTCATAAACCAAATTTTACAAAAACAATAAATTGTGTTTTTCGTCATTAAAAAAATGGCAAAAGTTTTCTGTGATTGGTAGGTTTAGTGTATGGGGATAGAATACAGTTTGTACAGTATACAAATAATTATGCCTATGGAGAGTTGCTATTAACCACATATTTGTTTGTGTGTGTGTGTGTACATTTTGGGGAGAAAAAAATTGATGCAGACCCAGATTAAAACCCACTGATCTCTGTTTTCAGTTTATTGGCAGCAGTTTAATTTTGTAAACTAGCTCTGTTCAGAAGATGTGGGATTTATGGCTATCAAATCACAGATATTCCAGCAGTTGAGTCATTTCAAACTGGCTTTAATTGGAAGTACACTGAATACCCTGCAAGGTTGTCCAGTCCGGTGTACGTTCCAGGAGTGAGCTTGTCGTCTGCCTGACCCTGGCTTGGTTCAACTGAACATACCTAGTCTAAATATTCCTTGGTCTTATGCAAACATTGACTAGACTTGACCTAGATCTAATCTGGATATTTGCCAAAAATGTTGGTTCTGTAGATCAATTGATGCAAATGTGCCATTTTCATTCCACTTGTTTATTGTTTTTTTTTTCTCTTCTCTGTGCAGAAAATGGCAAAATAAATGGAACTCTGAAGGAGGGAGAGGTGACTCCCATTTCCTTTAACCCTGACAGCTCCCTGCACCCTGCGAACGGTAATGGCGACAGACTCCTGCTAGACATCAACTTGAAACAGAAGCCCACTCGACGGGCCTTCACCACTGACTCTACTGGGGACATAAAAAGTAGAAACACTAGCAGAAACAGAATGGACTTCAAAAATTACAAGTCCTCTGAGTTGAACACACTTGAGGGCAAAAAAGAGGCTTTGGCTTCTCTGAACGGTGTGGTGTCGCTCAACTCTGTATCACTTACCAACGGTTACCCTTGCAAACCCGGGGCTGACAATGACGGCAGTGGCTCCGAGAGTGGATACACTACTCCCAAGAAGCGCCGGGCCCAGAGGAATGGCAAATCCGTGGACAATGTGACTGCTCCTGCCCAGGGAAAAGCCATGCAACAGGGCAGCAAACAAGACCACGTAGATGTGGCACCGGAGTCTGCCTCTGGCTCTCAGGTGGAGAGTGGCAGAGTCGGTTCAAAAGCCGTACCGCACCCGAAAGCCAAGGATCCACCTGCCTCCTCCGCCACCCCACCTCCTCCGGTGGCTGCCGCTGAACTTCAGCGCAAGAACTTGGACAGCAAAGCAGCTGGAAAGCGGTTTGAGGATCGCTCCAGCAAGGTTAAGGTGACTACCTCCACCAAAGAGGACTCATGGACCTTGTTCAAGCCTCCGCCTGTCTTTCCTGTGGACAATAGTAGCGCTAAGATAGTGCCTAAGATCAGTTATGCAAGCAAAGTGAAGGAGAACCTCAATAAGACTGCCCAAGCTGGCGGGGAGGCTCTTACTCCTGCTCCCCAGGTGCCTGGGAGACCACCACAGGTCCCTATGTCTGCGGTGAAAACCATCACCTCTGCTAGCTTTACCAACGGTCCTCTGCCGGGGGAAGGGAATGGCTGTCCCCTGCCTGGCCCCCATTTCAGCTCTGGTCCTCTGCTAGCGACCCCAGCTGTTGCCGCTGAGAATGTAGCATCTCCCCCTGGTAGCGGCACTACGGTCATCGGAAGTTCCATCGCCTCTGTGGCTGAGCCCAGGAAGCCCAGCCTGTTTGTTTACCCCGTCACCCCCTCCAATATGCAACTCTCACTCCCTAGTGGCCGCCAAGCTGATCCCCCTGCTGCTGTGACAAATCAGAAGTCTCTGGGGGACATTTTTCAGAATCAGTGGGGCTTGTCCTTTATCAACGAGCCTAGCGCTGGACCAGAGGGCGTGGCGTGCTGCTCGAACGGAAAGGACGTGCCAGTAGAGGTGAGCTTTCAGGGAGGCTGTCCTGCTACAGTGGCCACTCAGACCACCAGTACCTCTCAGAGACCGGATCAACCACCCTTCCCCAAGGCTCACGAGCCAGATAAACGGACTAACGCTCAAAATCTTAGTCGAGGTGTGAGCGGCGGATCTACGGCAGCAAGCAGGGCCGTATCTGAGATGCCTGTCTTTAGCTTGGATGCTCAGAGAGAAGAGACTGGGGTTCATGGTGCAATAGTGTTTTGTTCTTCCTCTAAGGACATTTGTGCTGAGCTGCCTCCCACCTCCACGGCTACACCCAAGGTGGCTTTGGCCAAGGAGCAGGGCCATACTAAGGGCTTTGACAGGAGGTCTAGTTGGGGATCATTTGATCTAAAAGCTGCTGTAAATTATCACACTAAAGGTAAGTCACTATTTTATCCTCTTGCTTCCACTTGTATTACAAGTATATTCTTTATAATGAACAGTGTTGTGTGTAATGCATTACTAAGTAATTAATGTAATTTATTTGCTTTTCCCATAAATTAAGAGATTACTATCATCCAATAATTTACTCGCTCTCAAGCCATCATAGGTGTATGACTTTCTTCTTTTAGCCAAACACAATTGGAGTCATATCAAAAAAATATCCTGGCTTTTCCAAGCTTTATAATGGCAGCCAGTTGATAGTAACTGAAATCAAAGCCCCAAAAAGCACACCCATCCATTATAAAAGTATTTCACAGTGCTCCAGGTGGTTAATAAGGGCCTTCTGAATTGAAGTGTTTTTGTAAGAAAAATATCCATATTTTTTACTTTATAAAATGTAATTAGCTTCTGGTAACGTATGTCCGCACATTCACAAGAGAGGAAAGTTCTGGCGAATGACGTAGGATGTAGGAGTAGCGTGAGGGTAGACAACACGTTCATCAATACGTCATGCGTCGGTCAGAGTTCACTCTTCGGCTGAAACTCGACTTGCTTATGGAAGCCAGTGATTTTAGTTTTTAAATATGGATATTGTTCTTCAGAAGGACTATATTAACCCCCGGAAGCCGTATAAATGACTTTTATGATGGATAAGTTTGCTGTTGTGGACTCCCAAATCTCTGTTCCTATTCACTCCCATTATAGCCAGGATATCTTTTAATATATGGCTTAAAGAAAAAAGTAATATACACATATAGATGTGGCTTGAGGGTGAGCAAATTACAAAATAATTTTTTTTAAAGGGTGAACCCTTCAATTACAGTTTCTTCTGATATAACTGCATTAAATACTGTATAGACTACAACAATTCTATAAACAATAGTGGATTTAACATCATATAATGTATGTCTTTAATGTAATTTTCTCCCTTTAAATGCTTTGCTCAAGATAATTAAGAGTAGTTTCATGTCTATACATCTATTGGTCAATTGGACAAGGTTAATATAGGATTTAGAAAGTAGTGTAAAACTTTTTTTGAAGATGTAATTAATATATATATATTTTTTTTTAGAGTAAATGTGTACTAGAGATGGATGTCTGATAACCAATATGCAGAAACGATTTTTAATTGTTTTATTTCTGATCATTAGACTACAATGATAAAAAATAATTTATTATATTTCACTAGTACTGATAATTGTTTGTCATTATAATATTGCAAAGTTGTTTATCACAAATTAATTTTCTTCTGTTTTTGTTTGTCTGATTGTTAAAGTCAACATAAAATGAAAATGAATCCTATCTATTATGTAAATGCATGTCGTAGTTCTTTGTTACTGTGACTTTAAATTGGGAAAAAAGTGTGTTATCAGTTAGTGTGCTGCTGAGTGCTGATAATTTGGTTTAGACTAAAGGGGCAATGTGTAGGAATTTCCCCCATCTAGTGATGAACATCTAATCATGCGAATCGTGCTCTCCAGCGCCTCGCTTTTTCAAATGCGCATTGCATCTATGGTAGCCATTATGTACCAAAAAGCTATGAAAGGATGTCTTCTAGTAGCACTTCGTCAAGTTCCTTTGGGTGAACAGGTTTGTTATTTCAAACAGACAGCAACTTGACACAACGATCAAACGAATGTTACAGTATGAATTACTGACTGAAAAACACAACTATTGAGATAAGTAGTTAAAGGGTACCTATTATGGCATTTAAAATGTTCCTAATATTGTTCTGGGAGTCCCCAACAACAGTTTTACAAGCATGCAATGACAAAAAACACTTTTGTTGTCTTATAATATGCATTTATTTTTACCTGATGAATGAATATGAATCGTTTAGTGAGTCCTTTTTCCAAAACCCGCCTTTGCGTGACGCTAATCTGCGGTGATTGGTCAGATGACCTAATCAGTTGTGATTGGTATTCTCTGTGCAGAGATTGTCGAAAACGGAACGCCTATCACCTTAAATGGGTTCTCAACTCCAGTCCTCGCGACCCACTGCTCTGCATATTGTGTATGTCTCCCTTATTTAACACACCTGATTCAGATCCTCAGCTCGTTAGAGCCGGCTCGCGAATCCATACTTTATAGCGTTTAGGTTTGTGAAGCAATCATCTTCAAAAGGACGCGAACACAGAACAAGGTTAGAGCTATACTTGTGTGGTATACTTGTATAAATGAACTGCAGGCAGCCACTTAGTGTTCAAATGCTCCTCACTTGGCAGGTGAAAAAAGTTCGCTTTTGCGTCGCACTTCAAAACACAGCGTCTCGTCGACATGATTGTTTTCCGGTTTTCCCTGGCGTCTCAGAGCGCAATAAGTGGCCGTTTCTTATTCAAATAACTTGTCAAGTTGACGTCAACTAGACAAAGGAAAAGCATCGTTCTTCGAACGATTCATATCAACGACTCTTACTTTTGAGAGACAATAACTTTGTATACGATTTACTTTCATGTTTAAAACTTTGCAGGATGTTTTCGTTCACTTAGATCTATGTTAAACACTACATGAAGGGCAATTTTCAAAAATCCATAATAGGTACCCTTTAAGCCTTCTTTATTCGTTATATTTTACTTGCATTGCTAGATATAATCATCATCAACTGTTAACTATATAATGTCGCTGCCCGATGAAACTGAAAAAAACGCGTAATTTCCAAAGCCTGTAACTTTAATTTTAAAAGACTGTAACATTGACTTACCTGTCGAGAAGAAAGCAGGACTTCAGTGTCTCTTTTGAACTCTTTCTCCTGCATTAGCTCTATCCACCTGGAAAAAGCTATCCCGACATTAACTATTTTTTTTGTAATCTCCGGTCACGTTTCCTTTTACAATCTATTTTTTGGTGACGAGGATTTGCTATGCAGTTTTTTATGCAGTATTTGTACACCACTGAGGACATATTTATGAACAAAAATATTGATTTTAAATAATAAAATGCATAAAAAGTACACATTGTCCCTTTAAAAGTATGTTACTTAGCCTTCTCAAATTAGAATCTTTTTTGTTAGTTACTCATGCACACAAAATGATACCGTGGGACTAAATATACAAAAATGATTTCTGTCTGTTTATATAAAGCAACAAAATAGCAGTATTTTTAAGCTTTCCTGTTAGTGTGAGTTGACACAGCTCAGTTATTTAGTTCTTTCAAGTCAAATAGAAATGATAGATCTATTTTTACACTGAACTTTCATCTTTCTCTTCTTTGCAGAAATGGAATATATTTTGAATTTGCAAAAACAAGGTAAGCTTCCATTCACCTATTGTTTGTTGACATGGTTATAGACAACTCTTTCATCAGCATGTAAACCCTTAAATGATTCAGCATTCAGATCTTGCAACCCATTGGCCCATCTGTTCACATCCCTTAAATCTCTCCATATCATTTTTGTTTGTGGTTTTTAAAGTTCCAAACTCTCACTTTTCCGTAGATCCAAATCGAGTAGTCCTCTACAGTGAGTCATGGGACGGACCTGCTCAGTGAAGCTGTGTCTGGACACTATATCTCAGATGAACACTGCTGCAAAAAGATGTGCTTGAGGAACCATGGTTGCTGCCTCTGAACATCCTGAATCAGAACTAATCCAATCTCAAGATGGTTTAGAAAGGACCTTGTTACCCCGTTAACAGTCAAGGCTGAGCACAGAGGAACCCAGTTCGATGGGTTCTCGCAGTTAGCTGGTTTTAGAATATTAGAACGGGAGCTGTGGAACTAAACTCTATTGCGGTCTAGCGGATATGTTGCTGAAGACAATTTAAATGACTTTGGGGACATACAACTCACACGTCAAACACTTTGGTTGGGCTGAAGCTTCTCATTTGAGTACTCACGGACCTAAAGAGAGCGTCCTGGAGAAAAGCATGTCACCATGTGTCCCCTCTTGAATTCATATTAATCATGTAGGCTCAAAGTGGTCACATCGAATTCATTTGGGCACAAAACCGAAGAGTGTCGCTCTCCAGTGAATTAACATACTGTAGCCAGAGGAACTACTTTGTTTTTGTTTGTTTGTTTGTTTGTTTTTTAGATTCAGGGGAATCAAGCTCCATATGTTAATGTGTGGGCGGGGGGAAGTTAGTTCAAGCCTTTGGGATTAATTAATTGTCTTAATTTAATTGCTGGACAAGATTGGGTCAGTCCTGTTCGTGACGCATCTCCATTTCTTTTGTTTGTTTTTTTCCTTCCTTCTTCTACTTTTCATTGAAATACTTAAAAACTCCAAGGGCAGGTTGTGAGGTACACTCGGATTGGGAAACCGTACGCCCTGTAGTGTGCATGTGCAGTATGCTGCTCTGTGTGTCCTCTTTTGGAAGAGTTCAAAGTGCTATCGTTTAATAGTCTTATTGTCGTCTCTTCACGCTTCTGTCACCTGACAGCCGTTCGAGTCTCTTGCTCGTTGTGTGAGAGTGTGTAAACGGAGGGCAGAGATCGTGCTATACTCTTTTCTCTCGAGTGTTTTATGTTTTTATTTTTTTAAGTAGCAGTTAGAACCCACAACTAATCGATAAGATGTGCCACACCACACAGTTGCTTTAACTTTAACGCTAATAAGGTACATTATGGATATTTTCGTTTTGGTTTAGTTCTGTAGAGCTGCTCTTTGAAATGGAGAGCAAACGATCTGGACTTTGTATGTTTGCTTGAGAGACTAGAAGCCCCTAGCTTTTTTTTTATCGAGCACCTCAATCACACTTTTATGCTTTTAATTTTTGTTGTTTTAATTATTGGTTAAGTTTGCCACAGTCCATATGAGCCTCATCAATAGAACCGTTGTTGACAGGAATTCTGCTGTTGTGTAAATGTTTCTAATGTCAGAAAATGCATTCTAAAGTTAAAGAGTCTATCCTCTGCTTTATCATTTCATGATTAATTGATTTATACGTAAGAATCAGTAGCACTTTATGTATTATGTTCTTGAATTGTATTTCCTTAAACATTGACATATCAGTACATATTTGAAAATTCTAGTTATTAATCATAGGCTACTAACTTTAACCTCTACCTAAGGACTGTCGGTCCACAATCTCAAAAGAAATGTATATGAAACAAAATAAAATAAAATAAAAAAATTAAATGAATAAAAAAAGTGAAAAAGTAAAGAAAATAAAAAGACACTCAGGTAGAATTAGGGCAGTGTTCTTCTATCTAACAAAAACAAAAAAAAAAAAAAAAAAAAAACACACCAACAGTGTTATTGCCAAAAACGAAAAGAACGTCCCATGTTTGTACCAGCTGTTTTTTTAAAGTGTAACTTTTAGGGGTTTAATTTTTGACTGAAAGACAATGTTTGCATATTTACAGGTATCATTTGGCATCCATGTTTTCTGTACATGACCATGAAACACTGCCAGGTGAAAAGATTTAAGTACACATGGAAGACGTCAACCACACTACATATCTGTATGACTTTCCTTTGCAAGAGTTTTCAGGTTTTAAATGCAGCATGTAAGGGTTTCCAATGTGGTCCGTCTTCACGAAACGTGGGATGTTTTGCAATAGTTCTTAATCTGTTTCTGTTCTTGAGGTGTCTGAAAGCCTGTTCAGTGTCTTAGCTCAAAAGATATTGGGAGAAAGAACTCGAAACAGATGTAAGGTTATTAAATTCTGCTTCATCTTCTCTAATTCTTTTTGGATTCCACTTAAAAGCTTTGTGCAATGTAGAGAAATCATGCGATTGATAATTAGCTTTTAGATGCACATCTCTTCATTGATTCACTTGAGTTTTATTGTAGTTCGCTAAATTTTGTCTTTGAACGGCTCATGTAGAGCACTTTTCTTTTTCTTTCTTTTTTTTGTATCTTTTTTTTGCTTAAGGAGTTACTGATGTGAGCATAATTTATAACCATCTGTTATTAGATTAAGTTAATTATGAAATACCTCTGTGAACACATTGTCCCAATATCCCTGTTTTCCCATTAAAAAGGGATTGTTCACATATAAATGAAGATTCTGTCGTCATTTGCTCAACCTTATGTTGTTCCAAACCTGCAAGACTAAGGTCTCATTGAGTGAAAGTGCTGTTTTGGACCCCACTGACTTTCATTATATAGACAAAACCAGTTTAAATAAGTTTGGAACACCCTGAGGGTGAGTAAATAATGGCATGGTTCTCATTTGTGGGTGAACTGTTCCCTTAACTCAGTTACATCTTTGTAAATGCTCTCAGCAGAATGAACGTAACCTGGTCTTTGTTTTCAGAACTCAACTTTAGGGGTCAAATGCACATATAGAGGTTCTATGCACAGAATGCAAACAGAACGAAGTTTATATTTTGGGGGGTTGCACATTAGCTTAATTTCCTCAATTTAAAATAAGCACTTACTACTCCACAAATGATATAATTGCAATATAAATTATTTACATAAATCTTAAATGGTGCCCCTTGGTGTTTAAAGCAATGACAGAACGTACGGATGGGAGAGAGGTACAGCGATCTATAAATGGTGTGTTTGATTGCGAAATCTGTACCGAGAAAATGTATTGTTGGCATATTCAAATTTCATGTGTTTTCTTGATGTATGAATGATTCTTGTCCTGTCCTGACAACTCAACTCATGCGTGTGGATGCATATGTGTGTTCGTGTGCAAGCATGTGTATTTGTCTTCATTCATGCGCTCAATTATATGCAAAGTTAATATTGCGAACTTTTCAAGTTCAGGGTGCCTGTGTTAAGCGATATATTAAACGGAATCACATCAGAACATGAAAAACTCTTCTTTTTTTTCCCCCCTACAATCTTAAGTTGTGCCATGTTTTGACTGTTAAAAGTTTGAATTAATATGTCATTTTATGTTGCTCTCTCTGAATTTCCTAGTGGTCATGAAGAGGGGTTTACATTTTGTCTCAAGAATCTTTGTCACTGCTAATAAACTTGTTGAAAAAGTTCTTGTTCTCTTAGTCTTCTTTTGAATTAGACTACACTACAGTGTAATTTGAATTTAAATGTTTGTTTTTTTTTTCTGCTAAAAGAAAATGAATATTCTGGTACGAGCTTAGCTTAAAGGTTAATTCACCCAAAAAATAAAATTGTCATTAATGACTCAGTCTTGTGTCGTTCCAAGCCTGCAAGACATCCGTTCATCTTCGGAACATAGTTTAAGATATTTTAGATTTAGTGTGAATGTTTTCTGTCCCTCCATTGAATGTATACTGTCCTTGTCCAGAAAGGAAATAGACATCAGCAAAGTAGTCCATGTGACATCAGTGGGTTAGTTACAATGTTTTGAAACATCAGAAATACATTTTGGTCCAAAAATAACAAAAACTACAACTTTATTCAGCATTGTATTCTCTTCCAGTTCTGTTGTCAATCCGCATTCAGTGACGCTGATGACGTGAGACACTGCAGACGTGTATCTGGTGCGTCCGAGCTTCGTTTATAGTCTGAAGGAGTTGCACGCTGTAAAAAATCAATCTTCGCAATCATGTCTAAGGAATTTTCGACAAAGAGGAGAACTTTTTTTTTGTCCAGTCATATTTATTTGAACCCGAGTACACAGACACACCATATACACGTCTGCAGCGTCTTACGTCATCAGCGTCACTGAATGCGGACAACAGAACCGGAAGAGAATACAATGCTGAAAAAGTTGTCGTTTTTGTTATTTTTGGACCAAAATGTATTTTCGATGCTTCAAAACATTCTAACTAGCCAACTGACGTCACGTGGACTACTTTGATGATGTCTTTATTTCCTTTCTGGACAAGGACATATACCGTGTTACATTTTCAATGGAGGGACGGAAAACTCTCGGACTAAAAATGTGTTTTGAAGATGAACGGAGGTCTTACGGGCTTGGGACGACCGACGACATAAGGGTGAGTTTTAATAACATAATTTTCATTTTAGGGTGAACTAAAACTTCAAACAGAATCTGTGGGACAATAATGTTGACTAACAAAAAAACAAAACAAAAACATACAGAGTAGTGAGCACTTACAGTGGAAGGGAATAGGGCCAATCGGTAAATGTTTATCCTATATGTAAATCTATGTAAAAAAATTATTTTAATTTTGATAAAATTGCTAACAATTTCTGCGTTTACATGCATTGTAAATGTATCAACGTAACCGTAGAAAAGGGACTAAAGTAAGTTACTTTTGTGACAGGCCTAATCGTTATGCCACCGCTAATGTTCTTGAACTAGGAATATTCCTTTAATACTCGAGCCATAAACATTCCTGCTTCTTGGATTTACAGCAGCACACCCCACTTTCTACTTCTGTCGTCATTTTTATAACCCTTACTTACTGTTATTATAGCATTATAACAAGGACTGACGGAATCTGTGTTTTCCCAGGAAAGTCCCCGCACCCCTCTGGCGTCTCTGAAATGGCACTGGTGTAAAGGTGAGTCAAGGGAAGAGAATGCTGTAGGAGGTTGGGCATCGGGATAAAAACTAAATAAAACCTCGGGGGTTATTTGAATTGGCTGTTTCTTATTTGTCTACACATTATTGTTAGATGAACTCTAAATTTAGAAACCATACAATTTTAGCAACTGCCTCGAGTTCAATGTTCTTGGTGTGGATTTGTTATGAGGAATCCTCCACCTCCAAAGCAATTTCGATGTGCACCACTAGATGTCACTGTTGCCCATCATAAAGTGCAAGATAAGTACATTAGCCACCATCAAGAGTGAAAAGTGTACTACTGTACAAGATAATTAATGGGAGACAAATAGGCTTACGTTCAGCAATCCCTCTAAGCGTATATGCAAAAACATTCCGCTATGAAATAATTATTTTTCAATCATGCTACAATCTATTTTGAAAATTTTGGATGAACTTTGGTAACAAGAAATATAGCTAATAAACATGATCTCATCACATTATATAAGATTATTATAACTTTATATTCAATTCATTATTCGTTCCATGGTATTGCCACTGTCAGATTTAAGTATTCTGGAAATCTAAAGATAATAAGAACATCTGTGTAAAACTAACAGGATGAATTGGAGAGAATTGTGTTGCTTTTTGTGAAGCCACAACACACACAACCTGAGGCAGATGGGCTACAACAGCAGAAGAAAATCCTACCTGAGCATTGTTTCTGACCATGTCCATCGCTTTATGGCCACCATGTACCCATCCTCTGATGAACTACAAGGAAGCCTCAGTGGACCTCCATGTCCCATGTATATAAAGATAATAAATTCTTAATTTTCAAGGATAAGTCAGATAATTAGCAGAGGTATTTGTACACCATTGAGGACATATTTATGAGTAAAAATATTGGTTTTAAATAATAAAATCAATAAAGTACACATTGTCCCCTTAAATATGCAGAACAAAAATGCCTGTGTAGGAAAAAAGGCCAGTATGATCTTGATTCTAATGCCTATAGGGAAAATCCACAATGAAATACATTAATGATGAAGGTACAAAGCCCCCAGGGGGTCTGACGTGTCCCAGCATCTCCTGTGAAGATCTGCAGATGATAAAAGTGGAACATAACGCTGCAGTCTTTCTTAGTTTCTAATAATACCATTAAACATCACACAAGCCTACTTGCGTCAAAACAGCACTGCATATTTGGACCGTGATTGACACGTCTAATAAAAGAAAAGCGTGCTTCCTCCAAAGTGATAGAATTGTCAAAAAATGCAGTGATTTCAGTCTCCTCCCCCCGTCCCCCATAAATAGAAATATGCCCAAGACATGTCAGGAGAGTAAAAATAGACAGCAGAAAGATTCCTAGTGCTTTAAATAGAGCTGACTCTCTGAGTATGAGGTCAGTGTCACTGATTTCTTTGTAGGCTCTGTTCTACGCTTCTGTGACTAAAGTCAAGCTCTCTTTCTCTTTGACACAGGCTGATCAACAATGCTCCAGTCTCTCACCAGTGTAACTCACAGCCTATACACAGCGTGGCGAGAACGCAGCGTTTCCCCTTTGAAAGAGGGCCTGAAGGCTTCTGTGACTGGAGCTGCATGAACGGTGACATTTTTTCATTACACAACCTGATTTTGCAATTAAAACTTGTACCTAGAGTATTGGATTCATTAAATCCAATCATGAATAATTTACATGCATATAATTAAAAAAAAAAAATCAATTACATACTTCCATGACATTCCTCATGTGGTCTTTTTTTCTTCACTTCTTAAAGCCATGAATGAATTATGTTCTTTTGTTCCGCTTTGTAATCTTTATGTTTGAACGGCTTACGTGTACAATAGTTGGTCAAAAGAACATGTACAACCCATAAAACAAGAAACTGGGTCCCTGACGTCAGTGCGTGACCTTAATGGGATAGGATCAAATCCCAGCTGCCGCTCCAACTCGTAGTGAAAATCTGTCCCATGAGAATGTTGGCGGTTATAGTAGCAAATGGATGACCAACTTCTTATTAACGCCACTGGCTTTTAAATTAAATGCTCAACAAGCTTGTGTTGCGAGTTGTGTTTTGGTGTCCTCTTACTTTTTTGTAGCTCAGGAGTCAGGACAGATTCTAGCAAATACATGGACACACTGGCTAGTCATCAGTTTATTAACAGTTCTTTCTAAAATCTTAATAACTGAGGTTTATCAGTTGAACTGTGGTGCTGATCTGGTTCTTATTCAGATTGGTTAATTCAGGAACAGTGTTGTTCGCATATTTAGTCCATGTCGACTCTGCCCTTTTTGTATTTTTTTTTTGTCCTTTTATATTATATTCCATTATTTTTTATCCTTGTATTGCAATTTATCAAAAAGCCCTTATTGTTGGCTATTGCATTGCTCATGTATTGTATTGCATGTATTGCATTTTACTTAAAAAAGCCCTTCTAGGGACTAATGTTAAATTAGCTTAGCTAAAAACATTGATACATGCATCAGATCACTGTCAAAGTGTATCTATGTTATTTTTATCTGTCCCTATCTAAATAAACTATAATAAGAACAATAAAAGATTCAAAACAGGCTTTAATTTTTAAAACAATACCCAAACCAAACAATGTTCGCTTCTCTTAAGATACTGGTGCTGCAGTTCTACTGAAACTACAGCAGTGCAGTTCGATGACAGAATGAATTACTCGTTTGAGGCAATTCTTTTTAATGAATAAAAAACAAAGTGTATTCCGACTCCAGAACAATTGGCAGTTCTTTTTAGTAAATAAAAACATACAACGCAACCAGTGTAGTATGATTCTTGAATGCATTACTCTTAAGAGTCGGATCTTTTTAGTCAGTCAAACACACACACAGCAGTTAACTAACTGCAAGACATTGTTATTTATGACAACATGTAGTTAAAGATGCACATTATAAGATTTGACATTTAATGAAATATGTTACGTACATGTTTGTTTTGTTGAGTTGTGCAATGCCAATTATTGGACTGCATTCACAAGGTTTGAAAGTTATGAATATAGTTTGAGGCTTCATAAAGACTGATAAGTTATTATTTAAGTTATTATATAAGATGTGCTGCCTTTGTTTTTACACACTGTGATAGTTTTAACTGCACATCCTGAGAAGGTAACACACATTTTTCAGAGCACTGCCTAAACTATAAAACGCTTACGAATTAATTGCTTTTCTTTTTTTCAAATATTTTTTTCTTTACAAGTACTAAAAGGAAGATCAGTGGAACCGTTAATGTATGAACTGTTAAGAGGAAACGGAACCAAAGGCAGTATATTATTTGCGATTTCCGTCCCTATTCATGATGCACCAACTCTAGGGACGATTATATCTACTGTGCTTCTCTGTGTTTTCTTTCGCATGCTCAGGACCATCTGTTTTCTGCTCCACTTACATTCTGCCTGGAGTTGTTCAGCACTACATTCCTGCAGCTTCCCCTCCGCAGTGCCCCAAGCAGTGCTCACTGTCAATGCCAGGGCCTAATTAGGACACCGATTCTCTGTGCAGATCCACACGTCTGGGTTATCCTCAACCATTTACTAAATCCTTGAAGTAAGAGAATAAGGATGAATGAATGAATCAGTGTCCACATTAGATTCATGTGGGTACAAGCTTTGTACAGCAATGATGTTTTTCTATTGCATCCTTTATTCTTTTATCAGTTATCTGTCTGGTAGCTGATCAAACTGAATGAACAATGAAAAATGCATGTTATTGAATTATTGATCATGTGTGGTGTAGCAAATTATGGGCCATATTGATGACATCCTCAGCTACTGTTTTGCACTCTTATTTTAGTCAATATGTCAAACCTTGCTCTGAATAACAAAAAGTTTTAGCCCTAATTTTTTTTAATTATGTTTCATGCAGAATAAAAGAACCATGCACCCAAAAATATACCTAATAACAGAGTATTTCTACAATAGCATCGGACAACTTTGCATCCGTGCTGTCTAAGACCTCAGTAAAACATAAGCTGAACTAAGCTTACTCTTATAAGCATTCAACTATTTTCCTGTATTAATAGTATATAATTACAAAATACTTTTTTTTTTTTTGGACAGAATGGACACTTTATTTTGGATTCCAATACAATAAAAGCACTTAAAACCACTCCCTGAAAAAATCACACATATTGCGATTTGGAATTTATATTTGGTTGGGACCCCAACAGCGAGTCAAATTTAAGCTACTTTTGAATTAAACAGCATCCTACGGTATATGGATGCTGGGTAATATCACTCCTGCTGGTGTGACAAAACGCTTCTTATCTCCCTCCTTCATTACTTCATTAATAACCTGCCAGCCTAAAAGTTATTTCAGGCTGAGATGCGTTGGAACAGCTATGCGTTCGTTGATCTCTACGTTTATAGTCGAGAAGTTTATTACAAAAGAAATATATCAGGAAAAGCTTTTTTTTGCTGTGAAAGCTTAATAAGGGGAGGCTGGACGCGTCTAGACGATAACTGAGTTGACAATGTTAATAGCAGCATGCAGCCTAAGAAATTGATTTGTCTTTATCTGTATTGTAATAATAAGCAGGGTTCCACTATATGTCCTTTAAATCAGTTTATCGGCACTCATATGCTGCACTCTCAACCATAAATATTCATGACAATCCAATGGTTATGGAAAACCACATAGTTTCATGCAGCTGAGAACAAACTCTTTCAAGCAGCATATAATATTATGAAATTAACTTTTTAGTGTCTTGTTCAGCTCTATTTATTTGCATTGACAATAAAGTTTGATTTTGAAGAGATACAAGGTTACAAATAAAATTATATGAAAATTAGCTGAATTTGTTTCTATCTTACAGTGTTATCTTAACACACATATACAGTACACTCACCTAAACGATTATTAGGAAAACCTGTTCAGTTATCTAATAAACCAATCACATGGCAGTAGCTTCAATGCATTTAGGGGTGTGGTCCTGGTCAAGACAATCTCCTGAACTCCAAACTGAATGTCAGAATGGGAAAGAAAGGTGATTTAAGCAATTTTTAGTGTGGCATAGTTATTGGAGACGGACCGGTCTGAGTATTTCACAATCTGCTCAGTTACTGGGATTTTCACGCACAACCATTTCTAGGGTTTACAAAGAATGGCGTGAAAAGGGAAAAATCATCCAGTATGCGGCAGTCCTGTGGGCAAAAATGCCTTGTTGATGCTAGAGGTCAGAGAAGAATGGGCCGACTGATTCAAGCTGATAGAAGAGCAACTTTGACTAAAATAACCACTCGTTACAACTGAGGTATGCAGCAAAGCATTTGTGAAGCCACAACACACACAACCTTGAGGCGGATGGGCTACAACAGCAGAAGACCCCACTGGGTACCACTCATCTCCACTAAAAATAGGAAAAAGAGGCTACAATTTGCAAGAGCGCACAAAAATTGGACAGTTGAAGACTCAATTTCTGTTGAGAAATTCAGATGGTAGAGTCAGAATTTGGCGTAAACAGAATGAGAACATGGATGGATCCATCATACCTTGTTACCACTGTGCAGGCTAGTGGTGGTGGTGTAATGGTGTGGGGGACGTTTTCTTGGCACACTTTAGGCCCCTTAGTGCCAATTGGACATCGTTTAAATGCCATGGCCTACCTGAGCATTGTTTCTGATCATGTCCATCCCTTTATGGCCACAATGTCCTCATCCTCTGATGGCTACTTCCAGCAGGATAATGCACCATGTCACAAAGCTGGAATCATTTCAAATGGTTTCTTGAACATGACAATGAGTTCACTGTACTAAAATGGCCCCACAGTCACCAGATCTCAACCCAATAGAGCATCGTTAGGATGTGGTGAAATGGGAGCTTCGTGCCCTGGATGTGCATCCCACAAATCTCCATCAACTGCAAGATGCTATCCTATCAATATGGGCCAACATTTCTAAAGAATGCTTTCAGCACCTCGTTGAATCAATGCCACGTAGAATTAAGGCAGTTCTGAAGGCAAAAGAGGGTCAAACACAGTATTAGTATGGTGTTCCTAATAATCCTTTAGGTGAGTGTATTACTGTGAAGCTTTCAGGGTCATGGATGAAATGTTGAACAGACAGAGATTCAATTAACCATGCACATTGTTGCTGAGAATGAGTCAAATCTTTGGAAGTTTTCATGTGCAATACGCTGCCTGATGAAAAGATGAAGAGCTGAGAAAGATGACTAAGACAAGATCCAGAATATGGGCATTATCATAATAGATTTTAATTAAAATCTTGCATATATTCAAAGCTCAATTAAATTTGAACAATTCTACGTTGTTCAAAAGATTCGTTTTCAGGATTCTAAACAGACCAATACCAACTGGGTGATTTATTTATGTAGATTGCATGTGTGTACATGCAAATTCAGCACGACATTTTCAATGAAAAGAGGTAAGGCATTGTGGATGATGCCTTGCCATATTGATTAAGACACTGCAGCTGCTATATTTGATTTTCAGAGGGGAAAATGTCCAAATCAATGAGGCATTCAGTTCTGGGAATGTTAGTGTCCTCGCAGACTCGATGTAGAGCACGTCCCACTCATCCATAAGAACTAGGCCTGCACTTAAAGGAGGACACCAGTTTATTTTGGACATGAGCAGGAGATTAATTATTCTGTTTAAAATATTTCCAGTGGATAATTAGACACGTAGGTCTACTGCATTCACTCAGGACATTCAAGATTCTACGGCAAATCAATTTGGTTTAGTTTCAGACTTTATTGTCCTGGTTAAATTCCAGGAAATTGCATCAATTACTTGTTTATGCATCATAGTGCAACACTGATGTACCAACACATTTTAAAAGACCTTAGAAGGCAGATTAAACAAGGTCTATAAGGTTCACCATGTTATAATTGTTGAGAATGAATCAAAGAGTTTGCATTTCAGTGGACCCATGGTTGATTTAATGCTTAAACAGAGCATCACAAATAAACACCTGCATACTTCAGTACACTGCCAGTGCTGTGAGTGTGCAGATCCAGCTGAGATGAAGCATTTATCCTTATGCAAACACATAAGAGTTGAGGTCAAAGGTGTGGAATGTACAGCTGTAGACTCTAAACTGCTCTAAAGTGAACTTGATTAAGTTTTCCAGTCACACAAACAAACCTACTCAAAAAAGAAAGGAAAATGCATGTACATTTTACATTAATCATTTAGAGCTTATTCAATTATGTTACCTAATGTTTTAATAATAAAGGCCGGGGCTAAATGTCACACTTTTTTTTACCATGGATATTTCTCAGAATGTTAATTGATGTTTAGGCACCTTCAGATCTGCGAAATAATCTGTTCACTAAAGGAGAATAAAATTATTAAATTATTAACTATTCTCATGATAGGCTTATGAGCTGCAAAATTAAAAAAATAAACTTTACACTTTATCTTTTATAACGTATTTCAACGCACTGTAACAACAAACTAAACTTTGTAAGTATTATATATTTCTATACTATACTGTACATTGTATAATGTTTGACAGTCCTTGTTACTGTGCATTTTCTTCATTTGAAAAACGATTGGACAGCGAATCATAGCTCTCCTTTCAGGCTAGGGACTCAGTTCAATGGCAGGTGCTAATTGGATGGCATGTTCGCGTAATAGCTCTGGGTAAGTAGGGCCCCTCTCTCTCCATTCCGGCTCAAGATCTCCGTAGACTGTCACTGTCTTTTACAGTATCGTGTAGCCGTAATGGCGCCAGCTTCCACATGCAACAAGGGCCTGTTTACCTCCGTCTCTTCCTCTCGGCCGCTGATTGGGTGTGCTACTTCAGAAGCGCGACGTGATTGGTTCAGAGACCTGTCATCGGACGCGGACTAGACGGGTACCCAAGACGGCAGAGTTGCGCGTGTGCCTTCCCAGGTCCTGGCAGCACCATCCGGCGAGGGGGTGAGGACGCTGGCCGCCTGTTTTATGACTGTAAGAAACACTGGATGTTCTTATTTTGATTTCTTCTTCACTGGATATGCTACATGCCCACGATACTGGGAGCAAGCACGCGGCACGCCGGTGAACGAGCACATCGTTATCGATGGGGAAAATAAGTTGAAAGCTTCGGAAGAATGTTTCCAGCAAAACGGATTGCTCCGTTGATCAGCGTGATGGGTGTTTCGAGGGGAATTTGACATTTGGAGAGGATCTGGAGGTATCCATCTACAGCTCAGAGCTCGAGCGCAACAGAGCGCCATACTGCAAGACAAGCTTTCCGGATCGATACAGTGTAGCAGCAGCCTTTTCATGCGGGGGATTTGTGCGTTTTAATGGAAATGTAAACAAGTAAGCTGGCGAGCAAGTACCAAGTCGGCAACGTTGGCCTGATCCACGCAACTTCTGCAAACTGCATGCAGCCCTGGCGGTGGAAACAGGGCTGGATGAGCCCAAAATGGCAAATATGAGGAAATCTAAAAGATGAATGTTGCATTCCCCACGCAACTTGTTCTATTCGCCTAATTTCCCTTTCCATACAAGCCCGAGTTTAGAGCAAAGCCAGGTGCTCCTCATTCCTCCAACATGAGGGAGATTTAAGGCCGTGCGGAATTGATTTATTATGGGGGGAGCGCGTTATTTTGATTTGATCCCTCTCTCCTCTTTTACTTTTCTTTTGTTTATCCTTCGCGAGATTTTTCTTGGATGTCCGCGATTGTCATTTTGCTAGTCTGGAACGTCTAACGCAAAAGATCCTCCGAAGTAGGTCAGATCAAAGCTGGAGAGTTGTTAGTATGACACCTTTTCACACTCATCTTGATGTAAGCTATGCCGGACATTTATGCTTTGATTTGTTTTACCCGTCGTTTGGCTCCATGACAGCTAAATGAGAGTTTGACATCTTGGCAGCCTCCCTCTCCATCTCGTTCGCCTCTTTGTTTTGTTTTTCCACCTCTCATTTTCTGGCTGTTGAGTGAGTGAATGGCTCTGTGCGGAACGACGGCTTCCAATGCCGCGAAAATGATGGCTGCGTACAACGGCGGAACCGCGGCAGTGGCAGCGCATCACCCGCACCATCACCACCAGCTGCCCCATCTCCCTCCTCCCGCCCATCTCCACCACCATCACCACCCGGGCCAGCATCACCTCCAGCACCCCGGCTCGGCCGCTGCCGTGCACCCCGTACAGCAGCACGCTTCCACGGCCGCAGCTGCTGCTGCTGCTGCCGCGGCGGCGGTGATGCTGAACCCGAGCCAGCAGCAGCCGTACTTCCCCTCGCCCGCTCCTGGTCAAGCTCCGGGGCCGGCGGCCGCTACAGCCCCGGCGCAAGTTCAAGCCGCCGCCGTGAAGGCGCATCATCATCATCACCACCACCACTCGCATCACTTACAGCAACAGCTGGATATAGAGCCGGACAGACCGATCGGATACGGAGCTTTCGGTGTTGTTTGGTAAGTGATTAAATCACATACCAACTTCTGTAGTAAATGAAAGTTGATCTTTTGTCGCTGCATGTGTACGACTTTAATTTTGACTTTGAAAGTGCCCTTTAAAAGTAGGCTAATGTGCAAATAAAAAAGTTACAAATAAAGAATGCATATTTGGGAAGTATAATTAAAATTATGTTCACCCTCTCATAAGATGAAGACTCAAGATACATCAGAATAATAGAAAAAAAGCTGTTATTCCACACAGAGCTGGTCTCCCCCCTCATGGGTGCCGCCATGTTGATGTCACATGACCAGCTGTGGAGACCAATTTGACCAATTTACTTCCAGGAATGTTGCCTTCACTTGCCATCATAATAAAATACGCCTACTAGTTTCCTAGTTAAAAAATTGGACATGAGTCCTTTCTCTCAAGTCACATTTTGAATGTGACAAGCTCATAATCTCGACTTGACAGGTGAATCCTGCGTAATACACCACTAATTGACAATATTAATGTTTAGTCAACTTAATCCCCTGAGAAAACATAACTATTTTACTGAATGACGATTTTGTGTGAATTTGTATGAAAATGTGTGATTTTTTAGACAAAAAGCAAACCCAGTTGAACGAAAATGTAAAAAATGAGATTGTATGAATTATTCACCAATTTTAGGTAAAATAGTTGAAGCTGTGAATAGCATGAATTGCCACGAGAGTGTGTTGGTTTACTTTACAAAATGCTTTACGAAAAATGATATAACAGCTAAAGAGTGATGGTATGGATCATTATGTTTACAATTTATCAAAAAGAATGAGTGGACAAATAGCATAACAATGATCATTTAGCCCATTGTAACAATAACTGACTAAACCTAAACCAAAACTTATAGAGTGTACCTTTAAAGTGTTTTACCTGTGAGGCTTGTTAGGATGGAGCCATATTTTAGATTTTATTTTTAGATTTCCATGTGACAGTTCAACAAGGGCAAGAATAAGGGACAGCTTTTGACAAAGAATTTAAGATGTACACTACGGGAACATCGCTCTACTTAAGGGATAAGCTCACTTAAATGCTCAAGATTTAATTCATGTCAGTTTGAGTGTCTTGAGAAATTCCCAACACAGGTGTTTTTTTCACTACATGAACCTATAAACACTGAACATAATAGTAAAGTAAAGGGATCCTTCACCCAAAGATGGAAATTCTGTCATATTTTACTCACCCTCAAGTTGTTCCAAACCTGTATGAGTTTCTTTGTTCTGTTGAACACAAAATAATACATTTTGAAGAATGTTGGTAACCAAACAGTTTCTGGTCCCTTCCATTTTTTTTTTTTCATACAATGGGAGTCAATGGTGACCAGCAACTGTTAACCATATTCTTCAAAATATCTTCAAAAAATAGTTTGGAACAACTTGATGGTGAGTAAATGATTTTTTTTTTGACTATCCCCCTTATGTAAGTGCCTAGAAAATAACTTCCTACAACCAAACCAGTTCACAGGGCAATACAGACCGAAGATGAAAAGTTGAGTAATATGTGTAATTCTTTAAGGAAGCAAAGTGCTGGTTCTCAGAATGAGTTTGTAACAGCAAGGAAACGCAATATCCTTTTTAAGCACACACCGTCCTGTCCTTGCAGAAGACTCAGCCACGACTTCTGTTCAGAGGTTAATCTGAGAGTTAATTCTTGGGACAAGCAATATATTAAGCAGCACAATAGGCAAAATGAAAATAATGGGCCATTTTCATTCTTTGACTTTTTCTAGCACACATCTTGGCTCTCTGTGTGTTTATCCAAAGGAATCACCTGTAACTGGTGCCTGCAGAGGGGCCACAAAACTAGGGGAGCTCTCATCAACAGCCACCCTGCCTACCTCCGCCCATGCAATCTTAGCCTGACCTTTCCTCAAAATCGCTTCCTGTTGCTCATTGTCTGCTTTTAATCTGCACCATTGCCTGCTGGTATATTTATAGCTGTCCTCCAGAGGCTTGACCATAGATGAAAATCATTTAGGGTTTGCACCCTCTTAAAGGGGGTGTACATACTGCAGAACCATGGGTAATTAAATGGATAATTTACGCAAAAAGTTACAAATTGACAATTCTGTCATAATTGAATACATCTCATGTTGTTCCAAACCTGTATTTCTTCTTTGGAATACAGAACAAGATGTTTTATAGAAACGTGCTATCTTTTACTTTTAATTACAACCAATGGTTGATTTCATGTAAAAGCATGGATTTCAGTGCATAATTACTTCAATTTCAGATTGATGCTTCTCAAGGCATAAGATGAGGTCATATGATCATATTATTTTGATACTTTATGGTACTTTTGTACCCTTATTAAACTCATAATGCATAAACATAATGGGAGATGTACCAACACAATGTTCTCTCTCACCATCCCTGATTTTTTTAACACACACTCACAGCGTTCATCTTGGTCTTGAAGCTATCAGCGCAGAATCGAAAGCTGCCGCTCTCCATGTGTTTTCTTAAAACTATGATGTTTCTCCTTCCAGACTGATCTCATGAAGTAGCGTGTGTATGCCACGCCAATTCGTATTTCCATTTTTGGCGTGCTATCAAGATGCATAATCGCTTTTCAGCGTGTTTATGAACGCCGTTGACTTAACGTTATATAAATATATGACTTACCTCAACCCCGTCCCTAAACCTAACCGTCACTGGGGTTAATGGCATTTATGACTGTTCCCTCACCATCCTAGGTAAAAAAAAAGATATGACTAACCTCAACCCCATCCCTAAACTTAACTGTCACTGGGGTTAATGGCATTTATGACTGGAGATTTGACTGCGGATTCTACAGACACGCGGAATGACGCGGACGTTAATGGTGTAGACATACACGCATACACGCGGATTCACGCGGATAGCTCAAAATGCGTAGAGATAACACGCCACCTGACTCGAAAGTGGCGTGTATGTTTACGCAAAAGTCATGATGTCATGTTGCTCCTTCATCTTGTGATCTGATAGGCCAAAACCTATCTTAATACCAGATGTAAACAGGGCCAAAGACTTCGTAGGGACCCTGTTAATTGGAACCCAGATCCTGTGCTGGGATAAAGGAGAAGTGTGAGCTTGGTCCTTGTGTTAGCTATACACTAGAAGGCTGTTTTGGCTGGTGTTTTACATTCTAGTTAGTGCCCTTTCATTCGTGCAGCTGCAAAAGTTAAGATAAATTGGTTTTGGCCTGGCCACAAAGTGTATGTCACAAACTAGTTCTGATGCCGATGGAGTTGAATTGAATTATCTGATATTGTAATCTATATTATCTTTTTGCATCTGCTTAATTGCAGGAAGTAATGCTTTTTCACAGTAAGCATTTTGTGCAGTGATTTTGCAAACCGGTTTATATTACACCCTTCAGAATGAAAATGAAATGGAATATAATTGATGGTTTATGCTTAAGAGACCCTGCTTGTGCTAAGCGTTACTCGATCATATTCTAGTCTGCAGGAAATGAAGTGCAAACTGCTGGGTCTGATGCTTTATGGGCAAAACCCATATGTGTTAATAATACCCTCAAAATTGTCACTCTAGTATGAGTTTAATAGTGTGGAGTGCTTATGTGGAAGATATAATGGCATATCTCTTGATGCTCAGTCAAAAAGTTTATTTTGAAACCCCTTGGCCTGCATGTACTGTACGCTTGTAGTTTTGCAGATTGACTGACTCATAGTGTACGTAAACAAATTTACGGGAAACAGGAGCGCTAAATGCTAAACCGCTGTAATTTTAGAAGGCTTCAGTTGACAGTGAAGCCTCATTTGTGGGTTCTGGGAATTCCATGTGTGTCCTGTATTATGTTTTATGTACTTTAATGTGGCTTGTTAGTCAGGTTTAGGATGCAGCTTTGGTCATTTCTTGCCTCTTATAAGTTTGCATTGCATTACTCTACATTTACATACATTTTACATGAAAGAATTTGGCAGACAATTGTATCCAAAGTGACTTGCATTGCTTTCAAGGTAAACGTTTTATTAGTTTCCCTGGGAATAATACTCATGACCATGGCTTTTTTACGCTCTACTGTTTGAGCTACTGATGATGAACTGATTCATTGACACTGTACTTGTTAACAAACTACAATGAATATCATTGCCATTTATACAGCAATGGCTTTGATATATTAGTTATATTTAATGTATGATCTTGCAGTCGTGTTGCAGGTAATTGAATCATCAGTGTCTAAATGTTTCGTGAATCAAGGCCCTCGCTAGTGCCCAAAAGATAAACTGATTCACAAGGAGAACTTAGTAGGTGAGCAGAATGACACCATCTGTTGCCAACAGTTTGCTCGTATTTATATTAACACAAACAATACATATCATAAAAACAGATTTGGCCTGTTCAACCTGCGTCCCACAGGCCTCCTGCTGCTCAAACCAGGTCCAAAAACAGAGACCTACCAGATAACTATATCTCCGTCTCCATCTTAATCACAGCCCTCATGACTTGCTTGTATTTTTTTTTTTACACGTGTGGCCTCCAACCGTGAGCTGTTAGAGCCAGTGCTGATAAAGAAGAAATGCCAGACACATGCATGCATTCGCATGTAATGGGTCCCGTATAGGCTATTGTTTATTTGGCATTGGGTTTAGTTGATTTTCAGAAAAATCGGTTGAACTGGTTCTCCTCTATGCCCCCATAGGCCCCTGTCTCTCAGGGAAGAGGCATGGCTCTGCACAGGAATGTATCTGAGTCTTCACTGTCCATTAAAGTGTCAGCCGGTCTCTGTTGCGTTCACGTTTTGATCTTCTAGCATGGTCACGGACAGCTTGAATTAGGTCTGATGTTCTTAAGATCCCGTCTGAAGTTACTTTCTTTAAAATGGCTTGGTGAAACTTCTGAATCCTGCTTTGTTGATTGGCACCATTAGACATTACATTTGTCAGTAATTCTCTAAACAGCTAAATATATATATATATACACACACACAGTATGTATGTATATAATATATACAGTATACACACGCAAAACTGAATGGT